TTTAATTTTAATATTATTATATTAATTAATAACTATTATATTATATAATATTAATATTAATTGTTTAATTTTAATATTATTATATTAATTAATAACTATTATATTTTTAATATTTATTTTAATTAATATGTTATAATAATATTATAAATTTTATATATATTATTTAATATATAATATAATATAATATAATATAATATATATAAAATATTCTATTTAAATAATATATTATATAAATAAATATATAATAATTTATATAATATCTTATATATAGTTAAATAGATATAATAATAATATATATAATATAATATATATTATATAAATTAGTATATATTATATATATATTATATTATAAATATTATTATCATATTTATATTACTATATAAAATAATATAATAAAATTATATAAAATATATAAATAATATAAATATAATAATTTATATATAATATTTTATATATACTTAAATAGATATAATAATATATATAATATATATTATATATATAAATTAGTATATATTATATATACCATATTATAAATAGTATTATTTTATCTATATAACTATATAAAATAATATAATATTATAATAATATAATAAAATTATAAAAAATATATAAATAATATAAATATAATATTAATAATTAATAAATTAATAATTTAGAATAATATAAATATAATTTTATTATATAATAAAAATATTAAATAATATTAAATATAAATATATATAATATAATACCTCTTTCTTTTAAATTCTATATTTAAATATAATATATTTAATAATTATAATAATTAAATATATTAATTGAAATATATTATAATAATATATTTAAAATATAATATAATTTTGAAAATAATTAAATCAAATTATTTAAATATATTATATTTCAAAATATATCATTTGAATAAAAGGTATTCCTACTGCCATCTGTGAATTAATACTTGAAACTACATAGGACCATTCTTAACCTTAAAAATTCTGTTTTCCTACCTTATCTCCGTGTTTAATTCTTTCGAAGAATTATTAATATTAACCCATTGCATTCTACAATCACATTTCCAAGGATTATCCCGTAGACTTACAACCGCTGTTCTTTGTAATATCAAACGAAGATCATATTCCAATGTTTCCAAAGCACAATCATCTATCGATAAACGTTGCAATCTTGGTAATAAAGTACCACGGTAAGGCCAAACCGTAAATTGAACTAAATTTCTACAACCGATCAACGATAATATCTCCAAACTCGTTAAATTTTCTAAATCATTTAACGCAACTCTTGTCAAATTTGGCATATTGTTCATTTGTAATTCTCTCAAACGTGGCAAATATAATCCACCCAATAGAAATATCTGCGTTCCTGATATATCCAATTTTTCTAAGTTTATCGGTAACAATGGAATCGTACTTATCGGGTTCCATGATAAATCCAATGTTGAAAGATTTGTTAGACTTTTAAAAAGTTCCGCGGAAAAGAATGTACACGAAATGTTTTTTAAATCGAGATGTTTCAATTTGGTCAATGGCCAAAATGCATTTTCGTGTATTCCATCGCCAATTGGATTGTCAGCTAACGAAAGAAATTCTAAAATCTAAAAAAAAAAAAAAACAAGAAAAACCATTCGTCAATTTTACTCGCCATTTTTAATTTGTTCGAAACCCTTTTAAAATCGTTCGTTTCGAATTGTTTTTGTTCTTTTTTTTGTTTTTTAATAAAAATAAAAAACGTACCTTTAAATGTTCCAACATGGTCTCATTGACGATAGAAAGTTTGTTAGATGATAAATCCAATATTTTTAATTTTGGTATTCTGTTATTTAACGCATTGTCATCGATGTATTCCAACTTGTTATGACTGACATTTAACACCTGAAGATTGTATTCGTCTTTACAGAGAAAGAAAAAACGTTGTAAATGATTTTGAGATAGATCCAACGTTTTCAATGAACTCAAATTCGTTGAACAATCTAAAAAACTGTCGAATTGATTTTGACGTAATATCAGATCCGTCACTTCGCTTAATGATATCATCGTTTGTATCTTCAAAAAGAAATCTTCTTTCTTTAAACCATTATTCGTAAGATTTACCTAAAAATATCAACATTCGTAACTATTTAATTTTTTTTTATTTTTCTTCTAAAGAACATTTTTAAGCAACACATTTGAAAGTTTTTAACGACTTTGAAAAAAAAATATAAAACAATATTGATATAATTTTATTAACAAATGATATTTGTGAATGAAAATTCGATACTTCAAAAGATTAATCAAATTACAGTTCTATTATGAATTCATATTTTGTTTAATTATTTTTTTTTTTTTTTAAATAATTAATTTAAGTATATAAGAAAATTGTTTTCTTTTTTCGAAATATTGTCCAGTAAACTTTTCATTATTTTGTAGAAAAATATATTTTATATAATAATGAATTATTAATGATATTTTCAATCTAATAAATTATATTAAATATTATTTTATTTTTATTTATTTTATATTATTTATTATATTAATTTATTTATAAATATTTTTTTTTATATTATATTTTATTTTATATATTTTATTTATTTATAAATATTTTTTTAAATATAATTTTATATTATATATTTAATTTAATAATAAATTATCTAACAAATTATTAATTTACTTTATTTCTTTATTTATTAAGTTAAGTTTAGTTTATTAATTGTTTATTTATTTCGTAAAGATAAATAACAAAAATAATATTAAAATTACGTGTTTTGTTTCAATTAATCCGATTCCTGATCAAAAAACATTTTACACATACACCCACACACACACACACACACACACACACACACGTTAGTTCAAAATACAAAAAAAAAATTCGGCGCGAATTTTGTGAATTCGTATCATTCGTAAGATTTCATTTGGAAAATTTAAAAAGACAAAGAGAAAAATAAGGAAATATAACACGAAGGAAAGAGATAACAAAACCGGAAGAAGATATTTCATAGTGTCACACATTTCCGAAACGATTACGAATTGTCCGTTTTGATTATATTAATTAAATAAACAATCACTAAAGTCAATATTCACTAAGTGAAGATAACGATGATCATGATGATAATATGATAATGATGATGATGATGATGATAATAGGTGAAACACCACCCACCATATTTCCCGAAACGAAAGACAGGAATGAAGTTAAAATGAAAAATATTCCAAGCGACATATTTATCCAAAATTTGTTCTTCCTGTTGTTATTGTTATTGTTGTTGTTGTTGTTGTTTTGATATATATTAAATTTTAAAAATCAAATAATAAATTGATCTAATATATTAAATCGTTTGGGAAGATCCTTTCGTTTAATAACTTCGAGAGACTTAAACTTGGAATAAATGCTTCTCACAAAACGATCCACCAGTGGAATGACAACGAATTCATCAGCGACAGTCCCTGAGTCTTCTTTCATCCCAGTGCCGAACTATTCGGGGTTCGTTTGTGGTAACTGCAAATTGCAATTATTATTCATTCAATAATTCCACAAATTTAATTTGAATTATCAATAATACATAGAAAAATAATGTTATAATACTTAAATCATGAAAAATATTATAAAAATATAATTAAAATATAATATTTATAAAAATATAATAATAATTTGATAGAAATAAATTTTTTTATAATTTTTATATAATAATAATAATAATAATAATAATAATATATTCAACATTTTATATTTTAAATATTATTCGTTCAATCTTCGAATGATAATTTTCTGTATAATCTAATAATACGATTAATTTTTATCTATAAATTGATTAACATTATCTGAAAGAACAATTGTAACACGAATACTTAAACACATCATTTTAAATATTATTATTTCTAGAATTTTTCTTATTACTAAATTTTTCCTTTATTTTATATCGTCAACTTAATTCGAATAATAACTTTGAAAGATAATTTTATTTATTTATTTATTTTTTTTTTTTTTTTTTTAGAATAAAAAATACATTTTTGTATAT